TAGAAGCATAGGGAGAGAGAGGAGAGGAGAGGAGAGCAGAGCAGGAGGGGAGAGGAGAGGAGAGGAGAGCAGAGCAGAGCAGGAGGGGAGGGGAAAGAAACTCAGAGCATCATGGGGCCCCCAGCAGCCTAGGCCTATAGCAGCATAACTAAGGGAAGGTTCAGGGTCACCTGATCCAGCCCTAACTATAAGCTTTATCAAAAAGGAACGTCTTAAGTCTAATCTTAAAGGTAGAGAGGGCGTCTGCCTCCTGAACTGAGACTGGGAGTTGGTTCCATAGGAGAGGAGCTTGATAGCTAAAGGCTCTGCCTCCCATTCTGCTTCTGTGGACTCTAGGAACCACAAGTAAACCTGCACTCTGAGAGTGAAGTGCTCTGTTAGGATGATAAGGCTCTACGAGGTCTTTATGATACAATGGAGCCTTGTTATTAAGGGCTTTGTATGTTAGGAGAAGGATTTTGAATTCTATTCTGAATTTTACAGGGAGCCAGTGGAGAGAAGCTAATATGGGAGAGATATGATCTCTCTTGCTAGTTCCTGTCAGTACTCTGGCTGCAGCATTTTGGATTAACTGGAGGCTTTTTAGGGAATTATTGGGACATCCTGATAGTAAAGAGTTACAGTAGTCCAGCCTGGAAGTAACAAATGCATGGACCAGTTTTTCAGCATCACTTTGAGACAGGATGCTCCTGATTTTTGCAATATTGCGCAGGTGAAAGAAGGAAAGAAAGATCTAGAGACTTGATTTATGTGTGATTTAAAGGACATATTCTGATCAAAGATGACTCCAAGGTTCCTCACAGTAGTACTGGAGGCAAGAGCTATGCCATCTAAAGTAACTATATGATTAGACAGCAGATGTCTAAGGTTTTCAGGCCCAAGCACAATAACTTCAGTTTTGTCAGAGTTTAAAAGTAAGAAGTTGCAGGTCATCCAGGCCTTTATGTCTTTAAGACATGCTTGAAGTTTGACCAGCTGACCTGATTCATTTGGCTTCATAGATAAATATAACTGAGTATCATCTGCATAGCAATGGAAAATTATGTTGTGCTTCCTGATAATAATGCCTAAAGAGAGCATGTATAAAGTGAAGAGAATTGAATTGGACCTAACACAGAGCCCTGTGGAACACCGTGACTAACTTCAGTTTGTGTGGAACATTCGTCATTAACATGAACAAATTGAAATCTTTCTGATAAATAAAATTTGAACAAACTTAGTGCAGTTCCTTTAATCCCAATAACATGTTCAAGTCTCTGCAGTAAGATGCTGTGATCAATGGTGTCAAAAGCAGCACTGAGATCTAAGAGGACAAGTATGGAGACAAGTCCTTTGTCCGAGGCTAGGAGAAGATCATTGGTGACTTTCACCAATGCGGTTTCTGTACTATGATGGACTCTAAATCCTGACTGAAAATCCTCAAACAAATCATTCTTGTGCAAGTGGTCACATAACTGCTTTGCAACAGCTTTTTCAAGGATTTCTGAAATAAATGGGAGATTGGATATTGGTATATAATTAGCTAGGACACCTCGGTCAAGAGTAAGCTTTTTGAGTAGAGGTTACTGCAACTTTAAAAGCCTGTGGAACATAAAATGGGAGATTGGATATTGGTCTATAATTAGCTAGGACACCTGGGTCAAGAGTAGGCGTTTTGAGTAGAGGTTTAATTACTGCAAGTTTAAAAGGTTTATTTACAGTTTGAGAGACACCAACTGAGTCTAATAATGAACAAAATGCATTGTTGGGGCTGTCATTGTCGGCATCTACATGAATATTAAAGTCGCCTACTATGATTATTTTATCTGTACTAAGCACTAAATCAGACAGAAAGTCTGAGAATTCACTTAAAAACTCTGAATAAGGAGCAGGTGGACGGTATACAATAACAAACAGAACAGGCTTTTGAGTTTTCCAGTTTGGGTGTGAGAGACTCAGGGTGAGACTTTCAAATGAGTTTATAGCTATGTTTAGGTCTAGGGTTGATTAATAGGCTTGAGTCAAAGATCGCTGCCACGCCACCACCTCGGCCTGTGTTTCGACGGCTTTGACAGTTATTGTGACTAGGTGGAGTGGATTCATTTAGGCTGACATATTCTTCCTGCTGTAACCATGTTTCAGTAAGACACAATAAGTCAATGTGATGTTCACTTATCAAATCATTCACTAACAGAGGTTTAGATGAGAGAGCTCTGATATTTAGTAGTCCACATTTGATTGTCCTATTACTTTCTACTATAAGAGGAGTCATCTTAATTTTAATTAGGTTCTTATGAATAACTCCTCTGGAGTTGATTCTTGATTTATATAATTTAGGTGGGCGGGGGGCAGACACAGTCTCTATGGGGTACTGGGAGCGTTGGGTGGGTAGCAGCTGCAAGGAGACAGCAGAGAGGCGTGTAAGACTGCGACCCTGCATCCTGGACTCAACTCTGGGTTGTCATAATTTAGGTTGTAAAACGAACTCGTCCAGATTTCTAGATAAGAAAGCCACACCACCCAAAGTAGGATGCCGTCTCTGCTAGTCAGACCAGGTTTTCCCCAAAATGTTTTCCAGTTGTCTATGAAGCCCACGTTATTTTCTGGGCACCACCTAGACAGCCAGTGGTTGAATGACGATATGCGGCTAAACATGTCATCACTGGTCACAGTGACACAGAATATATATTCACATGGTGCATTTTTCTGTATTTATTCACAATATTTATTCCATAACATCTTATTTATTTATATAACACTTTTCCTCATATTTTAATATTCCAGATACTTTGTATTGTTGTCTCTGTTTATTTTGTTGACTGCCCACTACAGGCAACACAAGCATGTGGCCTGAGCTTAAGGCGATTCCGCATCATGCCACGAGTTAAGCCCAGCCCTCACAAATGCATCCATTGCTTGCCAAAAAAGTAAACACACAACAACCACCAACACAAATCTGGATGTGCACACAGGACAAAAACAACCGTGCTCAAAGTACCACATTACAAATAGTACATGAACGTCAGACTGGGGAAATGGTAATCACAGGCTAGCGCTTTTGTTTCAAGCTCAAGCAAACTGACTCATTGCACACGCAGACATTCCTACACCAAAACATGAGATGGACTTGGTTTTTCAAAGCACATGCAGAAGATTATACAAGCTTGGTTTCCAGACAGAAATTGAAGGAAGAATGTGTCAATAGAAAAATATGACATTTGCCTCGAGTTGCCCAGGTTAAATACATGACCACTTCACTAAAAATGAGTCCGACATGAAAAGACCAGCCAATATCAGCTTACCCAAAAACATAAAAACACACTGCGTCTTGTAGGATGTGGCATGTGTGTGTTTAGGCCTTTGATTCTCTTGTTAAAACTCATGAGTTAAGGACCAGAACTACAAGAGCAGTTCACTGGGGGAGTGAGTTTTTAATTGGCTTAAAATGGCCTGAAGTTGGGCTGGTACCTTTTTAAAAGACAGTATTGGACTCATCTGAAAAGGTTCTCATGAGCAGGTGTCTGGATGAAGACCGGGGAGACTGGAGAACCCCAACGCTCGACTGAACCGGCTTCCTCTAGAAGGGTGAAGCAAGAGACACCAATGACATACTATGCTGACAAACCCATACACACTTCACCGTTTATTCCATCTTGTGCTCTCTCGCACACAGACACACACCATACACAAAGACTTCAAAACTGGACAGGTGGACAATGAAAGTCCAGGTGCCTTTTTTGGGCACATAGTAATTTTCAGATGCTTTGACTCCATCACTTGGTCCAGATTAATACAGGGCTACTATCCTTGCACATTTTTTAAAGTAACATATTATGTAACAAGCACAGACAAAATGCAGTGGCCTGTGGGGATTGTGGTGAGGACCCAGATGAAATTGCTGACTTGAGCCACATGCAGGTAAGTCTGGGTGCTTTGATGTGCTGCATTCACCTGACTAAACATGCACAGGCAGCAGGCATTGGAGCAGCAGAGGCAGCTGGAGAGGAGACACCGACTACTACAAGTGAACATGCACAAATGAAAACTGACTGCACATTGTCAGCATGAACACCCAGTCCTACTCCACACTGCTGGCAGAGCTGGGCACATTCAGGCCCACTGGCCAACAAACCTCCCAGTTTAATAAACATATATCTAAAGAAAAGCACCCAAGTCAGAGATAGGGCGCTCCAAAGATAACATTCTTGATTTAATAAATCATATAATGATGATCAGAATTGTCTGACTTAATCTTTCCAACTGACTTGGCGCTGTAAAAATCTACTTGAGAGGTTAAGGAAGGAGTCTTAACAGTGGGAGAGGAAAGACACAACAGCTAGGAAACAAGCAAGACTGGTGGACACAGAACCTCTGCAGGAAGAGACTTTAGAATAAGATCTGACAAAGAAAAAAGAAAAAGACCTCAGTCACTCCACGAGAAGCTGTGAGTGCTAGTGGTCTGCGACAACATGAAGATAGTAGATGTGCCCGAGGAAGGAAGGTGATGTTTCATCTTTGGAGAGGCAGGTTAAGAGAAGACAAGAGAAGAGTAAGAAGAGTGGGTTAAAGTGCTAAAGAGAGAGTACTAGTTAGGAAAACAAACTTGGAAAAGGACAGCATGAGTAAAAATAAGGTTAAAGGGGGTGTTCTAAAATAAACACGCCAAGTACTGGAAAGTTAGAACTGTCAAATAACTCTGCAACAACAAATGTATAAAATAAATCCATCGTAAGGTACTGTATATATTGTAGATAACTACAATATGACTCCTCTCAAATATGTGCACAACATTTGCTTTGGGTTGTTTCCCTAAACAAACAAATCTACAATCACTAAAAAAAAAAGCAAGCAAATGCACCCAAAGGCACAGCGCATATCAACATTTCCAGCTGCTTGGAAAACACATTAGCCTCCTGGGCTGCTAAATGAGATGAGAAAACATGTCTGGAAATGTTTTCTTCCTGAGTTTCCCTCTGAAATGCAATCATACTTGCAACTTGCAAAAAAACCTGCTAAGGATATTAAAGTCTGATCCTAATCTTTCTAATCCTGTGATCTCAAAACAATCTTTTGTTTTTATAGTGAAATGTTTTTTTTTTCAGTCTCCAATAACAAAGGTAGTGACCATCTACAGCATCATTTCGTATGTATAACGCTGCAGCCACTTTAAGACCAATTCATAGTTTCTGTGTCCAACCATATTTCAAGGTTTTGATTTAAATCCATCTTGGAAACACGTCTACATTTGGAAAAAACTATTAAATTATCACAGACAATAATAAATGTTAAGTTTGAACACTGCAACTGTAGAACTGAAATACTGCAGAGTGGGCAAAAGGGAGAGAAAGAAAAATAAAGATATGGGAGTACAATGGGTATGTGTGTGTTTGAACTGTACCTGTCGAGGGCGGGGGGCAAAGGGGTTGCGGAACACCACAAGCAGAATCTCTGGCAATAGGCTGAGCAGGATGAGCAAGATGATGACCAGCCAGACTGACAGTGAACTCAGCATTTTGGCAAACACAGAGCACAAACGCTGCTGGCTCAGGAAAGGCCTGCAGGAAAGGGAACACACTGGTTTACCCTGGCTGGAAGAGCTACAGGACTTGAGTAGAAATGAAAAATAACAGGTCAACTACAACGACTGTCTAAGTGATTTTACTGACCATATTATTCCTCCCCAGAAAAAGCTGAAAACCACGTAGAAGGCCAGGGATCCCCAGATTACAAAGTGGTTGAGCCATGTCCAATGCCGTGTGTCCAGAGCAAGCTAGACAGTAGAGAAAAGTCACTAAACACGTCAAATATCCAACATACTTTTTCAGTGTTCTGCGAGACAAGATATCTGTTCCAGACTCTGTGAAATGGCTGCTCTAATGATACATCATGTCATGGAATAAAATGTAAGGAAGTGGTTTACCTTTAGTGTGACAGTGAAGACGAGGACAGTGAAGACTATTGTTCCATATGACCAGTTCCCAAAAACCTGGGTTTAAATAAGACAAATAGGCAAAAGTACTCATGAGATAATGCTTAATCAAGTAATTTAATCCATTTAGAAGGTGAATTACACCTGAGGACAAACCTGGCCATTATTCTGGAGTGCTGGATTACTGAACAAGTATCGAACACCAAAGAAGAACACCAAGCCATGGAAGACTCCCTGTAATGTCCATTTGATGAATGGTCCCCACCGTAGCATGGCATTCTTAGCAATCGCTCTAAAGAAAATCATGAAAGAAAAAGATGAACAAAGTCATTATTTTTTGCCTCTTTGCATATAATCTCGACAATAAAAATAGGAACAATAAAATATGTGAGAGGAATGAACAGCAATGCCAAAGCTTTTAATGTTGTGCAATGACATGACATCTGAAGCTGCTCCATCGAAAACAGAAAAGATGACTATTTGTTGCATGAAAGCAGACAAATCTGACTATGCTGCTGCTGCAGTTAATGGGCTAAACTAAACTATAACTGTGGCTTTAGAAGATGAACTTGTTCATTAAATTTAAACCTCATTAATATTTTGTATTGGTGTATTCTATTGCTAAAATAAGATACACCTCAGAGTACACCTTTTCAGTCATTGGTCTTTTTGATTTTATTTTGCAACTGTGCAAGAGTTTGCAGATTTAAAATGATCTCAATCAATTCAATGACTTATTGCTCAAAATCCTAATCCTAGATCTAAAGCATAGAAAAGAAAATCTTAAGAATAAAAATCTATTATTGATCCTCTTTGCTAACTTAACACACCTGTACCTCAAAGTGCAATGCAGAGAATAAAGGGTACCCAGTTTTACCTGTAGAGGGTAGCATTCTCCAGCAGAACATCAATGCAGATATGCTGCTCCAAGAGGCTGTAGGCCAGGATGGGCATAGAGGTGAAGCAGATGTTGTACATCGTCAGATAGGCTGCGTCATACAGGGGCTGGGGAGGCATGGGAGCACCAGGGAGAAGGTGAGGGGGGAGGGGTTGGTAATAAGGAGGTATGGGGCAACCAGAGGTTAATACCATAAAAAGGACAAAAACCTGTACACACTATAGTATGCAATATAAGCATTATTAGCTTATATTCATCTTTCATGTGCTTATGAAAGATCTAAACTGGAGGAAATGTGGCAAATAAAATCTTCACCTTTGCATTTCACCAGAGACAAAATAGCTTTCTGGAGCAGTTTTTATATAAAACCATAAAATGTTCTAAATCTATACAGATTTTATGGTATTTCCATCCCTCCAGCTATCTCTTATGCGCACTCACATGCCACGATGATTGCATACATTCAGAATTTTGGGGCAAAATATGATACATGTCTGTATTATTTTAACAGTGTTATGCAAGTCAGTACATAAACATATCACAGCACAAATATCCCAGGGGCAATATGGAAGGCCTCCTTTCATGATCAGAACATCTTTGAACCTCAAAGGGCCTCAGGGCATACTCACTTGCTGGGAATAGCCACAGAAGAACTGGTACAAAAACTGAGGTAAGATGAAGCAAAGGTTCTGCAGGCAAACAGAGAAAGAGATCAGGCTCACAGCGAGGGACAAAAAACATCAAAGAACATCTAATGCATCCATTCGCTCCCATGTGCTTAGGATAATAAAGGTGCACACATGAAAAACATTAACCTGAGTCCAACCTAAAAAGCAGTTTAATTTCTTAAGAGGACTGATTCTGTCCAGTCTATCTCCTCATCACATAATCAAGTGAGCATGTGCATTCGTTTGGGAAATAAAGGCTTTGCTGAAACTCTTTTAGCCTTAGGAATGAGAAGAAGTCATTGCAAAAGAAGCATCTGTTCAACCTACCTTGTAAAAGAAGTACTGAACCAGGTGTGCAATGCGAACATAGTAGAGATGCCCATGAGCCAATAAAAGTTTCTTGAGGTGCTTGAGTTTGGGGATGGCATAATCGCTGTTCCTCACTGCCTGCCGCCCCTCTTTACCCTTAATACCTGAAACACCAAGAACAAATAATCCTAGAATTACTGCTTCGCGGTTGTACGCCAACCAGTCAAAATCACGGTTATGGGACAGAAATGAGGTCATTGACCTTGACCTTTGACCACCAAAATCTAATTAGTTCATCACTGAGTCCAAGTGGACACGTGCCAATTTTGACAGAATTCCCTGAAGGCGTTCCTGAGATATCATATTCACAAGAATGAGATGAATGCCAGGTCACACTGGCCTTAACCTTTGACCACCAAAATCTAATTAGTTCATCACTGAGTCCAAGTGGACACGTGCCAATTTTGACAGAATTCCCTGAAGGCGTTCCTGAGATATCATATTCACAAGAATGAGATGAATGCCAGGTCACACTGGCCTTAACCTTTGACCACCAAAATCTAGTCAGTTCATCTTTGAGTCTAAGTGAACACATGAGCCAAATTTGAAGAAATTCCCACAAGGCGTTCCTGAGATATCGTGTTCACGATCAGACATTCAACCCAAAAACAGAATGCATTGGCTGCAGCTATCGCTGGAACGGAGGCATACAAACTCTACCCTCACATTTCTCTCTATTTAGGACAATAGTTATAGTCAGCTTCAGCATCAGATTCCTTACCAATGCCAACATGAGCTTCCAAAATCATGCTGACATCATTGGCACCATCTCCAATGGAGAGGGTGATTGGACTGCCTTTAGAGTTCTTTACCATTTTAACTATCTAAAGACAGAGTGAGAAAGAGAAAGAGAAAGAGGGGCAGCTATTTAATACAAATGTGTTGAACCATATAAATCATCCTTTCAGTTCTTTAATGAATAAATATTTCCCACGGTAGGTGACTGTTCTGACCTGTGCCTTCTGTAGAGGAGCCATGCGACAGCAGAGCACAGCTGTGCAGTTCTGACAGATCTGCAGGAACAGGTTCTTGTAGAGACTTGAGTTGGATTCATGGGAGCAGTTGAGCACCATCGACAAAGAGGCTCCATCTATGATAAAACCATAGTCCTGGCTGTCAGAACACCAGCTTCTACACCGCAAAGAAGGGAAATGGGCTAAAGATTAATATCTGTGAGATTTAGTGTAGGATAAATCAAGACAAAATAAACAGTAAACAGAGTGAAATCATATAAATCTAGGTACCAACCTGGTGACACCTGGTGGCACATCCTGCACAGCTTTCTTGTGGTATTCAATCAAGAGCTCATGCAGCCGTGCCTCACGCCTCATCCTTCCATCCTCCAGAGTACGCACTGTTAGCTCCAACAACTCCGTGTTTCTCTGAAACAGTCTACAAGCATAACAGGTGGACTTTGCTGTCTCCATCTTGTCCCCAGTTAGGACCCAAATCTTAATGCCTGCCCCCTGCAGAGACTCCATGGTCTCTGCTGCCTCCTCTTGAAGCCTAAGGGATACAAGAAACAACCCACATGAAAGGTTTTTACAATAATTTGAAGACATTCATGCCATCACTAGAAGGAAAAAAAAAATTTTTGAAAATCAGGATTAAATTTCACAGGAGATCTAGTGAATTAGATTATAGAAAAGGGTGACTGCTTCAGGACATAAAACCAAAATGAAACTGCTGTTTTTCCAGTAAAAATGTTACTTAAGCAAGGATGAGACAGATCATCTTCACTTAGGTGTCACAAAGGACTGTGGGAAATGTAGTCCCAAAAAGAAAATGCAGCAACAATACCACTGCCCTGACATGAAAGTAATAAGTTCTCATTACAACGGTTTCATTCACTTCTAATAAAAAGGTACCATGTTCACATTGTAATTAAAAAAAAAAAATCTTTAGGGGGAAGGGGTGGCTTTTTTAAACAGCACTAGTATATTAATGACATTTCTTTTGATACCTGTATCATTTTAATACACTATGTTGAGAATGCAATAATTACCTGAACCAGCAATAACTATAATTTGATGTAAATGAATTTATTATGAACATATTGTATGTCAAATGAAATGCATTGGTGTGTGCTGAGGCAAACGTTTGTAACAGTTAATTCATTTTCTAATTTCAGCAATAATTATATAAAAAAAAAAACCATTACATTTTAAAATGTTGGTTTGTGGAAGAGTCTCCAATGTCAACCACAAGATGGCAGTATGGGCTTAGACTAAATGTTCTGAAAGCAAGTAACTCTGGGCTGTTAGCCTTACTCAAGATTAACCAGGTCATCCTCCTGGACAAAACTGGTGGCATGTAACAAAGGACAGGGAGCAGGAAAATGCAGAATGAAGAATAAACTTATTACAGCAACACAACAAAGAGGTAAGAATAGTAAGTCAGAACAGACGTTTGACACATTGTTTGTGGCTAACGTGGGGGGGAGAAGAAGGAAGCAGCATGCAAGATAACAAAATGCAAGCCATTTAACAACTTCAAACTTCAGCAGATTATGCAGTGAGAGCTGTATGGTTATAGTGTTTTGAGTGAGCACCCACCGATCTTCTACAGCAGTAGCTCCTATCAGACTCATGCCAGTCTCCACTTGGTTGTAAACAGCCATGAGCTTCTCTTCTCTGTCCTGCAGAGCCAGTCTAGCTTCCCTCAACCCTGCATCTGCCTGGGCGTACTCCTCTGCACTGAGATATTTGTAGGCTACACACAATGTACGGTAGCCCTCCTGCACACGGTGTTCAGACACCACACAAAGTTAGCTGTCTTGACATCATTATAATGGAAACTTAAAACCTGCCTGACTTTAGAAATACACAGATTATACTTTTAATTTTAATGTAGAGAGTCGGGCTGTTTATGTCACCCACTTTTGCATTACGATCCACGTGCATACGTATCCTTTCAACCTCCTCCTGTCTGACACGGGGAAAAATGGAAGCATCTGCTCCTTTACAGAAGAGCAGTGTATCACCTGGACACACACAAACGCAAAGGCACATACATTAAACACGCAGCGACGCGAGGGCTGAGGGTCAGCACTAAATCATAGTCGGTGCAATTAACCTGACAGGAATCTGAAGCTCACCTGATCTGGATCTGACTATTACACTCATTCGCCTTCTCACTGGGTCAAAGTTCAAAACATGAAGCAGTTCATACCTTTGGAAAGTAAAAAATGGAAGTTTTAGCATAAATAGAAAAGCATATATAGAAAAATGTGAATAAAAACTTTGTCTGCACAACTCAGGACTTACATTTCAACATCCTTATTTCTGTTGAGAATTTTCATGACTTTATTTTCGAGACCCAGAAATGTGAAACCATACCTGCAGGTGGAGACAAATAATCACATATCAGCCATTTAGATAGTTCCATGCTAAATGAATGAATGTAGTAGTGAAGTGGATACCATCTGGGACTTTCAAAACATTCTGTGGTAGTCATATTCATGCAACATTCTTGCTCTTTGAACAGTTATCGAAATGTCAAATCAGCTCACTGAGTCATATCAGCCCATCTCTTACCTCACAGCACCCTTGACCAGAGCAATCTCATCAGGTGAGGAGGCTATAAAGCCTTTCTCCTCCTGTGGAGGTTGGAGCACCTCTCCATCCACCCCTAAGCCATCCACCTGATCCAGGAGTCCACCCCCTTGGCCTTGATCCTGCTCTGTAGGCTCCTTCACTTGGACTGTGTGGCAGAGGCACAGGGCACGCAGAAACAGTTCTTCCCTCTCCTAAAAACATAACACGGCAGTGGCTTAATGCAGTAAAACAAGATATGTCATTTCAATTTAAAAAATAAACTAATTTACAACCACACATGGACTCATTACACAGTAGCTGGAATTTAGATAAAGCCCTGGATTTACAACTACATATCTAAATTAACTTCTTATCACTATAGCAACTGTCTGTAAAGTGTTATCAGGTGTTCATGTCAGGAGCACACAGCCACTTTGCTCCCCATCCATGTTGAGTGCATATGTTAATATGTCAAGGAGATGTATGTGGGTGACCCGTGAAGGGACTTTCTGAGCAGCGAGCTATGTAATGGCCATATGCTGCTGCTAATGTGACTTTTACAACAGATGGTGGGACACCACAACACCCACCGTGCTGGCTTTCTGGGGTAGTTTGCTCACGGGTCCATCTGTGACACAAAATCCGTCCAACTCTGAAGCTGTGTCCCGGTAAGTGTACTGGAAGCCGTCGATGCAGCACTCTATGAACTCCATGTTATTCTGAGTGAGGGTGCCTGTTTTGTCTGTGAAGACATACTCCACCTGCAGGCAGTGTGATAAAAATACATGACAGACACTTCCAAACCCATAAAAATTCAGTTGCCCATTAAAAAGGTCCCAACAATAAAATTGGGCAATTACTCTTTGAAAGAATTACAGTGCATTAATCAGTTTAACGTAGCATCGCCTTTAATTGAAGCAGTAATCTGGCAAACCAAGTGGGACTGATCCAGAGCAGCACAGTTTGAGTTTGAATTGCCATAAAAACAGAAGAAAATCGAGAGAGCTCAGTCAATCTGGTGCTAATATAAGCAGCTCACATTTTACAGTCTGGAGAGCACAGTCTGATGGATTTGATCTCAGCTTAGAGCTCTTCTGTAATTTCACTTTTTATTTCAAGGATTAAAACAAGCAATTTACAGAAAGCCATCCATAATCACACATATTTCTGCCACTAAAATTATATTTTATTTAATTTTGATCATCTGCCTGACCTGTCCCAGCTCCTCATTGAGGTCTGAAGTGTTGACCAACGCCCCCTCCTTGATTTCAGGGTCAAAGAAGTCTTTGTCCCAGGTGATGAATAAAGAGCCCAAAAACTTCTGCATCTCAACCGTCACATACATGGACACGGGAATGATAAAGTTGAAGAGCACCATGAAGGACAGGAAGTCAGTGAACATCTTTAGGTACTGTTAAAAAAAAAAGGAAGAAAAACAAGTTCATTTACAAATGTAGAGTAAATGTTATGTGTCACACTCGTATCTAACATTAAAATAAACACAGAGTGTTGTGAAATCAATCAGTAACACAGTTTACACAATAAGATATTGACATGAGATACAATTGCATCATTTGTACCCACAATTTAACCAAATGCAAGTTTGGAAAATTTGCTGCCAAGGTGGACCTTTACCTACACTACACCCCCTGTGCACAGCTTCCACTGCCATGTTTAACAATCAGTAATCGTAGATTATCCACACAAATATGAAAGCGTGACGCAGTTGCAGTGTTGTATCAATGTTCACAGCTGATTGAGGGCTAGAGCAGAAGGTTAACAGCCAGTGAAATGGGCTGTGACAGAATGTTGGTCTGCAGATGGGAGTGTTGATTAAGCAGACTAGAGCATGTAAAATGCCTTCATGCTCTTAGAAGTTACTAAATACTACAAATACTTCGCAACTACAGGCTTGTAGTTGCGAAGTATTTGCCATATTATACACACAATAATATACTGCTGCAATTCTAGCAAGGCCCGTTAGTTATGCTTCTTACAGCAGGGGCAATGCCTGTGAAGCTATTTAGACACGTATTAGCCCACGTATTTCACTTCCATTTGCTAACATCTTAGCGAATTATACTGTATATGGCACTGAAAAAGGAAGGAAATCGTTTGGCGAGTGTGATTTATATCCCTGTGCAATGTCTCACATAAAAACGATTCTCCCATGTTTGTATCAACAGTGAGATCCCTCATCAAACCAAGCGCTCCCTTTTCCTCGCTAAGCTGTGTTAACCAGTAACTGCAAAGTGATTTATTTCTGCCTCAACTGCCATTCGGCACTAGATGTATAGGGCAGGCAGCAGAGCGTTTGAAAAATAGTTGCAGGACGGCCCAGAATATCTTTCACAATGTCAAACATGCTGGATTTGTTTTTGAATCAGTCTTCTCTTCCTATCTACAGCTCATCACGTGATCTAACACATTCCTGCAATTGGTTAACGCAGCTTAGGGAGGAAAAGGGAGCACCTAGTTTGATGTGAGGCGTCTCCCTGCTAATGCAAACATGAGAGAATCGTTGTTATGCAAAACAGATTGCACAGGGATTTAAATCACAGTTAAACAATTTATCGTGCAGCCCTACAAAATAATACGGTTAACACTTTGCTGTTGTGGTGCCAATAAAGGGCTAGACATACTGTGCACATACTCTCGTGTGTACGCGGACACGGATGAGGGACGTGCACCTATTCATGCTTCAAATCAAGGGTCTGCCTTCTGTCCATGTACACTGACAGTTTCCAAGCATTGTAGTACATGCGCATTCAGGGCTTTTGCTGTGCAGACAAACTTTTGGTGTGCATGTGGATGTAGGCACAGAGTGCGCGCAGACCTGGGAAGAACTAAATCGCATCACTCAACCTTTGCGGACATGCAAACACACAAGGCATGAATAGCCCTTAAGACACTTAAACCCACAGTTCATTGTTCTGACAGCAACGGACAGACAAATGTGTACTCACCAGATTGGTTTCCTTCTCTCTTGGGGTTTTCTCATTGTACCAAGGCTCATCCTGTCCAGGCTTACTCTGCCACACATACTTGAGTGTAGTGCACACTAAGGCTTTGCTCAGCAATATGCAAAGGTAAACCAGAAGGAAGGCATTGATAGACCTGAAAAAATATATATATATATATTTTTTCAAATTGAATTAACAAGTTCCAAATGTATGTCACATTTACACCTTTCCCTCTAAACGTACTTCTCCACAGCCGAGCGTTTCTGAGACTTGCCCTGGTAGTTTAGAGCCATCTTTGTCTCCATGCCCGTGTAAACTGCAACACCTTCAGAAAGAACATGAGAAGAAAAAGAAGAGGGATTTGTTTTGTTCTTTTAATACTGAGCTATTTTCACTAAAGTTACTGTAATAAAATCAATATCTTCTGACTCACCACAGATTTTCTTTGTGTTTTTTAAAGTTGCCCCTTTCAGCAGTAGGTTTTCTGGGCCCAGAGACCTGCATAATCCCATCAGTGCATCAAACAGTTTAGTCACAGAGATGCTGTACAAGCTACACACTCTTACATTTCCTACGTGGAAACCTGGCAGGCAAGCTGGTATCCACTCTAAAATAGGCAATGACAATACACAGAATGACTGCAGTCGGGGCTTACACCGGTCCCAGTGTTCTTGAGAAGGACAGTGGCATTTCTTTATATGGCCATTACAAACTAGTCAATGATAAATGCCTGTGGGAGTGTTTTGGAAGCTGTGGCTTGAAGCCATTCCAGTCAGTTTTGATTTCAATGCTTGTCTGCAATGAACAATCAATGGAATAATGATTTCTTGGTAATGAAAAGGGATAATAAATGAGTGCTTAAGCAACTGTGCTTTGATTTGCTCACACTTAAAGTAGGCTGAAATGGTTGTGTATGAGTGCTCTCACCTCACCACGGACTCCTGATTGTTTCTGTAAATCTGCATACGGCCAACAAACCTGGAACAAAATAACATACACATTCAGAATATAAAGTCATTCATAAAACGTGCATGTGACATTTATTTTGCCCATTACTCCATCTGTTAAAACAGTAGTGTACCGGAGTATTCAAATCCATGCAGAGTTAATTCACTTTACAAATCCATAAGCTCGCGCTGACCTAAAATCAAGTGCAGATGCTCTGAGAGCCAGCTAATTAGTGGTGGTTAGCCAGCACCACAATATCAGTTTTATTGAATGAAGACTGAGAATTTGGCACCACGGTTTACTTAGCACGTCTCAAACACCATTCTGTCTTGCTAAATGACAGTATTCCTGCTCCTTGCCCCAAGTGGGAGTCAAACAAGTAAATGAGAATCACCTCTGTGCTCAGCAGACCAAAGATTACTTTAAACACCAGACACACGTTCACCATTCCTAACACAAATCCCAAACATACTTACACAATGGCTTGCCAAAACCTCTCCACTTAACCTACATGTTAATATTAAAGTTATTTAAAGCATTTTCAGCTAGCATCGAGTGAGTCCATTGCCAGCAAACTACAGGCAACGCATGCTTGTGGTATAAATCTGTCGGGGCCACATGATGAGTGCCTACTTGTAAAGGTCAGGCTGGGGCTGTTCACACTCGATGGTGGCACAGAGCATTTCCAGATCTTTTTCGATGTCCGGCACCGTGTAGTGCGTCTGGAAGAGTGGAATTGGCAGAGAGAGAGAGAGAGAGAGAAAGGGACACAGTTTAAACTGTGACTGACTTAAGTCAGATTATCATTTTATCTTTCCTCCATCTCTCTCACATAGTGCAGGAAAACTAGAAGACAACACTTACATAGATACTGTGATTCACACTTGAGCACAAAAAGGCACAAACATATTTCTGAGGAACTAGTCATGAGTGAAATTTGATCTTTAATTAAAGCAAAGCTGACAAACACAACTTCACTAACTATGAAAACTGTGACAGACTCAAATTCCTATTAATTATAATAATTACACAATTAATATACACATGCCCAGGCAAGTGCATGTAGAGACTGCAGTAAAACCTAATTATAAATTAATGCTCCAAACCCGCTTCCCTTCTCCTAATAAGCATCATATTTACAAAAACAAAGTATATCTACTGTGAAATGAATCTAATTTACTGGAAACAAGTACCAAGTTTGTTCTTCCGAACCAAAAGGTTTGATGAAAACAAGTTACTTTAAAAAATTTACAACTCAGCCATTCGGTTATGGAAAAAGGGGGACAGCCAAGCAGCCCATCTTACTTTATGGTTGGACTCTCCATCCAAACTCGCTGTGGTAACAAAACATGTGCCATCATCTCGGCTAGACTGCAGCAGTATTAAATCACAGGGAAAGGTCTCGTCTTCAACCACCTCCACAACATCTCCAACCTGACCAAAGAAACACAACCAAACACCACGTTTCACACTTTGCTTTGTCTCACTTCTTAAGCACCAGTTCAGTAATAATTCCCTTTCCTGTCAAGATGCTGTGGCTAATGTGTTAGCAAACAAGTGTCTACTTAAAGGCACTGCAAAAAAGCAGAGCAATATGAGCAGACCTGCAGAGTCCTCTGTCTGAACACCAGTAAGTATTCTGTCACCTTTTAGCTCTGGTTTGGTCTGCCAACACATGGTTTAAAAAATGTCTTTATTGGCTTGCTACTTGTTGTCCCTTTAGCACTAGGAGGTAGCTTACAGTTAACTTGTGTGAACTTCTGTGCTGAAAACAGTTGTCAACAGTTTTATATTGGTTTTAACAGCTTCCTCAGTGGTGTCAGCAGTATTAGCAGCCCTTTAACACAACCCAGAGTCATTTGGTTCACTTTAAATATAAAAAAAAATGTTATATTATGTACACACACACAGACACACACACAGTTTAATGCACTTTAACCTTTTGACCACCCATAACCCTACAGCAAACAGACCAGAATACACTGGAAACAAAAACTTGCACACAACGTCCTGGATACATTAGTTACAATCACACCCATATTTGAACATCTAATCAGCTCAGTGAAGAGACCGTGTTCTCCCATGTGCATATATTCCAAACATCATTATTCCAGGCTGCCAGTAGTTTTTTGTTTTTTTTTTGTGTGGCCATGTCTCTAAGGAAATATTTTTTATCCACTGGATCCAAACTAAGATGTGATTACTGAAAGGTACCTTGATCTTCTCACTCTCCTTCGATATCCTCCGGCCATCCTCTAGCACTGTCACTCGGTACTTATTCACTTCATAGTCAGCCTTGTGCCGCAGCCAGTCCTCGTAGCCCTACGTCAACAAATGAAAATCAGAATAGCGTTATTTGCTTAGTGCAACAAAAAGGACAACCTTTGTGCCATCAGTACCCATGGGACAAGGACAGCTAAGGCAGTGACATTAAGCACATACACAGTAGAGGTTTTACAGGAGCTCTCACCAAACCAAACGGAAGAGGGTAAGGCATAAGAAGCACCTACGCATACAACATAATCTTAACACTACATGTAGTATTTCATCATTATGTACAAAGGTGTGCCTGCAGCAGCAGAATGGGATAGTGATTGTCCCGCAGTGCACCATCAAATCATACTGAGTCAGGTAAAAAAAATAATTTCTGGGGATGCTGCAACATATGGCACAAAGCCTAGTGTAGACTTCATTAGTACTTTAAAACAGTGACGGAGGTAGAGGACACAGTGCAGAAACACAGAGGGAGACCACAGTTTGTTGCAGGGTGGAGCTTGAGCCAGAAAGTGGGATTACTGGGAAAATTAAAAGGAGAGGGAAAAGTCTGGGCGGATAAGTGGAAGAAAATGGGTGAATGGATGGAGAAAGTCTGGCTGAATGATGCCAGGTGGATTAAAGGAGGAGAGAAGGAGACAGTTAGTAGAACTATACACAGCTCACCTCAGCCTGACTAGGATGTCGGGCTGACTGCCTTGGTGTCCCACTTCAAAGCCTGGCTAAAGGCGGCCCAGCACTATCAGTGTGCCCCATATATTTTGAGAAGGAAGCCACCCACTATTGTGCATTTCAAAGCCCCAGTGGTAGACCAACTAAAAGGCCAATCCTAAAACAATAGATCTAAAACTGGGACATAGCAGCACAAGAGTCAAAAAAACTGACACTCCCCTTGATAATTTGTATCTCTGTAATAGACGAGCTCTCTCTCTCTCTCTCCCTATTTGCTCACACATCCAGAGAGGTCATTTGATCTTCTCCCCAATCAGAATTCACCAGTGGAGCACATTAATACAAAACCCTAGAGAGCATTAGTCACATACTTTATACACAAATCACAGCAAGAGAGTTATGAAGGCGGAGAGGGGTTGTTATATGGAGAGGCAGGACGATATAACAAAACGAGGAAATGAGGACATGGCAATATAAATCACATTTAGGTAGTGTCTTACCTGCTTGATTGCGGTTACTGTAATCACAAAAAATAAGGGTAGGCCACTGGTGACTGGGCTGGTGGGGGTGTCCACTATCACCTAGTGAGGAAAAAAGAAATAAGATAAATGCAATCTTAACACTAAGTGATAACCATATGACCTTCAATCTGAACTACTCATCACTGCAAAGTCTTACTGCAGAGCACATACAGTATGTATGTGGTTACAGAGGGAGGAGTATGTTATAACAGTCCTCTAAATGCAGGGCATAGTCCAGTTGTGAGGCAACAGACTCACCTTACCTGCTCAAGTTGTGTGTAATATGTTGCATTTTTATGCATGTGTGTAACAAGAACAAGTGCAGGACATTGATCAGATAATCCCAAATAACTGGTTCAGGAGCTGGACCCGAATAAGGCTCCCATTTAAAACCCAGGTCACAAATGGCCTTGTGTGTTTGTGCATTTCTTAAAACCATCATGAGATGGGT